TACAAAACTCGACCGTGATGGCCCTATAGGAAAGTGGAGGGCCTGTTTCACACCTATTCGTGTGCTGTTCATACATTGTAAAACAATTGAAAAAGTATGTTGCTATGAATACATTGAAAAAGAAAAACGTAATGTTATTCTTAACCTCCAAATTGTATCGTAAAGTACTTTGCACGTTTCCTTCTAACGTTGATGAGCATTTTATGCATGTAGTTTAATCGAAATGGAATCATGTAATCAAATGTTAGGAATGAGGAAAATTTAGTTACGGATACTGGAACGATAACAAGTGCGCAAACTGAAGAAAAGTCGAATCTCTATGATTTTATTTGAAAGTCTAAAATTCAAGACTGAAAGATTTCCTCTCACCCCAGCAGGCCTGGGTTCAATCCCAGTTGGCGCCGCCGGGATGTTCTGAGGAATAACATTTCTGATCATGCCGGGTCGATAGGTAGGGTACAGGTGTGGGAGCTGCCTCCCTGGCGTCGGTAGCATTGGTGTTCAGCACGGAAAACAAGATCGACGAAAAACAAATCAAGTAAAAAAAAAGAGAAAACCAACTTAGTTTTGACGTAGGACTACGTCTTTAATTTCTATAGGACCCTGAAGGACGTGGAAATCGGAGGCTCTCTGAGTACCTTCTCCATCATTCGGACGTTCCACCGAAGTCGTCCCGTTAGGCTGACTACAACATTGATCACCTGCAATATTTCAACCGCTGTGCAATGGTGTAAGCTCGCAAACCCAAAAGGACCAGCATGTGAATCTATTGGATCCCAAATAACCTTTTTTAGGGCCACTACCCGAGCAAAGTCTGAGATCAAATTGAAAACTAAATTTGATGTTGTGATTTCGCTGATAATGATTACTCAGGTTGCTGTCATTTTGGTCGTTTTAACGGTTAAAATATCCAAATTGAGAGCAAAAAAATCTTCCTGTGACATCACATTGAAAGCTATATCTGCTATCAGTGAGAGCAAACTGAAAAATCAACATATTTTTGAAGAGCAAGTGTACAGCAAAAAGTGATGTTGATGTCAAAACTTAATTTAGATTTGCTGTCATTTTGATGCTGAACTTTGGTCGGGTATATTTCTATGCTATAGATTTTTTTTAAGATCTCTAGATGGTGGGGAAAACAGATTCAGAAAAACAGAATTGAAATATTTTTGAACCATCGAGAGAAATAACAGCAAAGAATGATCAATCAGTGACAAAAGCAGTGTTCAGTAAATCCATTGAGTCTCCGTGAGAGAATAAATTTACGTTAACCACCCAGCTCTAAACCTTCCCGCAGACGTCAATTGGTAGCACGTTTATGCATTTCGTGTCAGTTCTCCATCCACTGAAGCAAATACAACAGCAATATCAACAGATAGCGCCAAAATAAAAGGAGCTCCAAAAGGCAACAGCGATTAGTACCTATTCGTTCCGTACCCTCCAACTCCATCAACCCTTTCGATGGACACCAGGAAGAAACAACAAACGGTCCTCTGCAGGGCCACCATTTGAAAAACAAAAGGCCCTTTTCTGGGTCAACAACCAACAAAAAACAATTCAAATATAGAAGAAGTTAAAATAATAGGTTTTCAAATAACTAAAAGAACTAACCACTGACCACACATAAACAAGATCCACTCAGAAGTACACATGAAATGTATGTTTCAAATGAATTGTATGTGTGGTCACACTTGGCTTTTATGTGTAAACATATTAAAAAAAAATTCTCTAGCTAATAAATTTCGTACTTAGTCCCATGTTGATATTAGTAAAGCATTTTCCGTAGGATAATGCGATCTCCTCAACACCATCTCCAAGTACAATCAATTAAACTGAAAGTTTTGTAGAGTTTTGCTTACTGATTAATATACAGAACACTCATAAAGTAAATTTACAAAAGTAACATAAAATGTCACACACTTGACACTACCTAGTAGCCAATAAAATGATCATGCAATCGACTGTTAAATGATATTGATTGGAAAGAATTCCCACTATAATAGCAATAATGGCGCTTGAAGTTATTATATTCCAACCGGGATAATCGAAATCCTATATCTTTTCTATTTTTTTTTTCCATTGCTGGACCTCACAAAGGCAATAACAATCATTCGATTGAATGGAAAAGTGCTTCAACTGCCATCAACAGCCGCAGTTATTTACCTTTATTTACTTGATGGAACCTTTCCTTTTCGCTTCAAAATGCTACTGCCCGAGGTTCCGCTTGTGAGGGTTGTTCGCGATGTTTCCGATTCATGTTTCCCTTGCCGGTTCTCGTGTCCGCACTCAAAGCCAGACCCATACGTTTTGCAGATGTCCTCCCATCCTTCAGCCGAATCCCATTACCGGTGATTTTCCCATTACACTGTTAGCTTTTGCGTGTAATTTCTTCACCCGAGTGCGAGTGAAGTTTTCACTGTTCACTGAATAATTCACGTGTATTTCCGCAACCGTTGAACCCCCATGTGTCAGTAAACTAAACTGATTTCATTGTATCGGCGGGACAACGAATCATGGCACATAAAGAAACAGAGAAAAATAGATCTTGCTGCATCGATGATCAAATACGTTCACACAAACGATTTACTACTGACGGTATCATCGAAAGAATCTTTATATTCGTGTGTACCATTCGGCATGGATTGTGTGCGTTAGTTTCTGTTCATGATACATCTGCGTATCGCAGTATAACACTGGCGAATGGTTCATATTCAGCAACATGTAATGACACTGAATATGAATGGTCAAAAGCTGTTGCATAAAGTGAACATTAACTTTTCACATCGAATGACGTGGGTTATTAGATGAGATTTTGTATTGCCAGGTTCCTAATTTTGCGTATATATTCTTAAGAAGTTTAACCATTGAAATACTATATTCCTGAAAACTTTTTCAGAGGATTTCCAACAAAATATAATCCCTAGTAACCATCATGTTCTTGACTGAATTTTCTTTATTGGTCGCGATGTTAAGGTGTCGTCCACTGTTGTGGTGATGTGGCATGTGCTAGCAAGTCAAAACATCATGACAACATTCCTCTCATTCCACAAAACATGCATGCAACCTCGATCAATGTCAGACACCCACTGCCCCACTACTGTGGCGGCGATGTAACATGTCAAAACATTATGCTGAAACATTGCATGTGGCGAACGTCAACATGATGTTAGTCAGGTTAGTTTCTGATATGGCTGCGGAGTGGCATCTGTTAGCATGGTAAAAAAGCTTGTCGAGGTTTGCTTTACGCCACACTTCATCCACATGATATTTTGGCATGTTGTATGATGCCGCACCGTCGCCACAACAGTGGGCGCCTCGTCTCGTGTCCGCAGTACTTTGTTCTAGAGTTTTTTGACGTTGGATAACGTCTTTCGGCAACATACGGGGGTACAAAATTGAAAACAGTCATTTTGGATGAGTTACGAAAAATTAAAAGATTTTGAACGATAATAACTCAACCGTCTCTCGATAGATTTACGAGATAATGGCATCAATCGATTGGAAATATTTCTAGCAATTTGCTTAGTGTTTCAAAACTATTGATTTCATTCTGTAAACTATTGAAAAATGGTTAAAAGTAAACCATTGTCTGAAGATGGTGAAAATCGATTGATTTTTTTTATATTCTTATACTTTCTCCAACCCAGACATCAGATGCGAGTATCTGACACCTCTGATATTTTCTGTTCTACTATATAAGCGTCCAACAAGGTCGCCCGTTCCATCATTGTCTATCCGATCGTCGACTCAGCAGCAGAGCAGCAGAGCAGCAGTACCAGAGCAGCGTAAGCAGAGCAACGGCAGCAGAGCAGCGGCAGCAGAGCCTGGGAGCGAAAAGACAACTACGCCGAGTGCGTTGGTGCCAGTGCTCCGGTATACTGGGCCACCGTCATGGAATGCCCAGCTGCTGCAGTTCTCAGTCGGTCGTATTCACCGTCTGCTCCGCAAGGCCAACTACGCCGAGCGCGTTGGAAAAATGGCCACAACATTATCAAGAAAGAGTTTAACGATTAATTTTCTAATGCCTTTCCGACACTTTTTTCATGACTTTCATCGTCCTCCTGATATTCATGTGATTTTGTGGTGGGATTTTTAGCTATGTGAAATTCACATGGTTTTCATCCATTAGATACCTATGTGGTAAATTTTTTGAGTGTATGCTTCAGCAATCAAAATAAAGTTTACACGATGGAAGCGCACATCGTAAATTTCGTTCATTTTAGTAATAATTAAATTGCCCCTCTCCCCCTACCCTCTGGTAGTACATGAAAAGCCTTTTTGTGAGGGGAATTTTTCAAGAGGATGCCGATTAAAATAATGGGTACCATTTTCTGAGGATGAGATGAAGACGATTCGTCATCCATATGAAGCGTGTCACGATCATTCCCAAGGATTCGTGGTTAACGCGTCTTATTTCTCTGTTAATACCGGTTAAACTCAATAAGAGGATTGTGATCGACTGGTTCCTCTCAAAATATCTGTTTGGATTTCATCCGAAGTTTCGGTCGCATATATTGTGCCTTTTTGAAGGAATCTCTTGGACTCTATATGTTGGTAGAATGTTCTACTTTAGTATTTTGTGTTCACCTACTAACCAGGCTCGGTTTTATTGTTCTATGATCCCACAGTATAGCCGTAATAATAATCTAGAAGTATCGCTTCAATACGATTAACCGGTTGGCTAAGCAAAGAAGACCGGAAGTCCCAACGGTAACGGTAAATGTTGAGCAATGAAGGAACAATACAGTTCAGAATCAGCGGTCCGAGGAAAACCTCTTTTGAAGTTACTAGTCAAATCACTCAATTTATTGAAGGCAAGCAGTTCACGTCCAAAGCGGAGAGTAAGGTACATTTACCGGGATCCAGTAAACCGAAGTCACGTAGGTAGTTAATTCACTTCCAGAGGTACTAATACCTTATCAGAAATCACACCACACTTCAAATTGGACGCACACCACGATCATTTCTGAAATCTCAACCGTAATTTGCTGATGAATTTCATTCCGCTGCATCAATGTAGGCCATAAGTCCAGGGCCACCGCAGCTCTGCAAGGTAGGGGAAATGGATCTAAGATTGGGCCCATCGCTAAAAATCTGCTATTTACCTATCTTATCTATATGAACGCGTCGTTGGGACGGTACTGATGGATATTTTAGGGCGCTATTGAAAATTTAGTCGATTGATTGGATGGAATGATAACACTGCACTGGTTAATTTCTTGGAATTCAAGACACGCCTACACTAATCAACCATCATCGAACCTACTCGATGAGGATATCAATTAACTAGGGAGAGCATGACAGAAAGATTCAACCATGTTTTTAATGGATTCATTTTATCACTCCTTGCGCACCACGAAATAAACTGTTTTGAAAACGAAACTCTTTACCATCAAATTGGTCGTCCTGAAAAGGACGGATTTTGTTAAAGGGTGGGAACTTGGATCGAATTTAGGCCTTCTTTTCGGTCTTCTTGGGCAACAGGACGGCCTGGATGTTTGGCAGGACACCACCCTGAGCGATGGTCACTCCGGAAAGAAGTTTGTTCAGCTCTTCGTCGTTGCGGATGGCCAACTGCAGGTGACGTGGGATAATTCGGGTTTTCTTGTTGTCACGAGCGGCATTTCCTGCCAACTCGAGAACTTCAGCGGCCAGATACTCCATCACGGCAGCCAGGTAGACGGGAGCACCGGCTCCAACACGCTCGGCATAGTTGCCCTTTCGGAGTAGACGGTGAATACGACCGACTGGAAACTGCAATCCAGCGCGGCTCGAACGGGACTTTGCCTTTCCCTTGACTTTGCCTCCTTTTCCACGTCCAGACATAATGCAACGAACGACACGAACAGTTCGATGCTGAAACTGTAATGATGACATTTCGACCGTCGAGGGTGGTTTTATACCTGCGCCGAGTAGCATATTATGAATACAGGGACGGTACAATAAATACTGTGGGTAGCAAAATACTGAAAATGGGTCGGTTGTCTCTACGGGCATGAAACGAGACAGCGTTGCCAGTATTCCTGATTTATTTGATTTTCCAGATTTTCAATCGTCTTGCCAGATACTTACCCAGATATAATTCACTAATATGTTATTACGTTTATTTCAAGAATTTTTAATTATGTTCCGGATTTTTCCAGATTTTTTAAATATGTTGCTTTAGAGAATTTCCAGCCCAAAACGAAAACCGGTTGGACATGAGCATTTCCGAATTCAGTCCAATAGAGGCGATGGGGGCAAGAAGACCATACGGGGCGAGATGGGCCACCGTTCGTTTGGGCATAATACCTATTAACTCAATCTATTTGTTTACAAACTTGTTGAAAATGCTTCTAATATGCATCTCCATGAAAACCGTATCAAAATTCAATTACATATTTAAGATAATAATGGAAATGTAACATTAGCTCAAAATCTCTAGAATATTATAAGATATGCAGTCAAGAAAACAAGCATCGCATTCACTATATTACATTTTACTGATCCGCTGGTTCTACAGCGAGCAATACACGTAACTGTTGCTGAAAGAACTTATGTTTCTATTTCACTTGATTCCTGCATGTTATTTTCTAGTGAAAACCTGTCAAAACCTTAACTTTTACTAGGGTGCTCTAGAGTCGGTGTATAATGAGTCACGCCAAGAGAAAAACAGTTGAACTCGCATCACGGTTTTCGAAAGATTCCCTTTCTTTTCACTTTGCAACAGAGGACTTCTACATCAACTTCAAATGACTTCCAGCGAGAAAAAAATATAGCGGCTTTAGTAAATCATTATATCAGTGATTTAGTCAAATTATCTTAACCAAAAATAGTAGAATTCCTCATAAGTGATCATTACCAAACGTATCCCATGATAATTTATTGCTCACTGCGTGTTTATGATCATTTCTTCGATTATATTTTATAAATACAATGCCTTTCGTGGATCTTTCATAGCATCGTAATGTTTGTGTACTTTGCGCGATAGGTAGCCGGTTTGACAGTTCAATAGGTAGACTCGGCTTCACTCTTGGCGTGACTCATTATACACCGACTCTAGGGTGCTCATATTGCCCCGTATGGTTGTTGATCGGAGCAAAAACTGAAATGTTTCAAACATAATCATTTATTCAGTCTATCATTCCAAAACCACAACCAAAACGGCCCTTTTCAGGGCCACCAATAATTCGACAAAGAGTTAGTTTTGAAGACAATTTCTATCCAGAATATCACAGTTACACTTAAATTTGGGGACTATACTGGGGTGTGGGAACGCTGAAAGGGGAGATGCTGTCTGTCTTCGAACTACCAACATCATTCCAAAGCTCCTCCAGGGCGACAGAGTAGAGCAAACCAACAACATCAGCCCAACAAAACGGCCCTTTTCAGGGCCACCAAACTTTCGCAAAAGAGTTATTAAGGAATATTCCTAAAATATAATATACACAATTAAATACAACACATAACAGACGTTATCCAACGCCAACCCTGCGGTCGTATCTAGTATACAACCCTCCAACTTTTTTTTTCCGATTACACGAGTGAATCCCGTAAATTTAATACACGTGGGATTTGATTTAATTGGTTCAAAAATGGAAAACCCCGTGATCCCGGCGATATAGCAAGTTACTGTGTTCGGCAAACATTTTCAGGTGACTAAGATCTTTCGAATGGTGGACATATAAGTTCAGAGTTCAGACACTAGGTGGCGTAAGTGTATATATGAGATTTTTTATGGGCTATTTATATCTCATGAACCTGACATTCATGGAAAATACAGTCCTCAATTTTTTTTCCCCCGTGGACAAGGCCTTCTACATGAAGAACAGGTTAGTTGCGAATGCTCTTGTTACGCGGCTCTATCCCAAGTAACAATTCTGCAATCATTTGGCATCTACTATGATTTATGATGGTTTTATAAAGGCAATGAACAATCCATTTAGTTTAAATACAGAATTTCACAGTGTAAAACGTTCCTGCTTAGTAGTTCACCTTTTCGCTGTTTTAAAAACCTTTTCCAGTCTGGCGAGAAGTCAAAAACTGTCTTGTTTTAAAATTAAATTTAAAGTAGTTCTCAATCCCACCATAAAACTGTTCTATAAATCAATCATAAACTTCATTAGCATTTTTTATTAATGTCTTGATAAAATACTCTATAAACCTGTTCTATCATTATCAAAACAATCATAAAACCATTACGTTTTAAATGAGAGTAAAAGGCATATATTGTTGCCTTTTAGGCTTTTAAAAGTGTATCATAAAATCTCCTCTGTTTACAAATTGAACTTTAAGGGTGGATCCTCATAGTGAATAAAAACCAAATTTATGACAAGGATATCTCGAAGGATAAACGAAGTTGGAGGAAAAATTCAAGCGATGCTAACGACCGAAGGGAAGTCGATTTCAGTAAAATTTAGTTCTTTAGTACTTTAGAACCAGCACGTCCGGCGGAACGGGTACCATCAAGCAAAATGACTTTAGATAAATACAATTCATTCTGCAAGTTTTCTTCAAAAAAGCCATTTCAAAACCTTATGAATTTGTTAAGGATTTCTTGAAAGCAAAATAACTTTTTCACAAATGGCCCATGAAAATCAACTTTTATGCCTCCACCATATTACAATTATTTTGTTTGTTGTTTTCGAGGGGGACGAAAGTCCCAGATTTATTCAAATGTTGCCAAAACTAACTCTAAAATTCGATGAATCGATTCATAGTCGAACAAATCCATTTTATCGATTATATCGGATATAATCAATTAATTAATTTATCTTTATTAGGGAGGCTTTCAGCCTTGGGCTGGTTCGCCTCCAAATCGGATATAATCTAGCTTAAATCTCTAAACACGGATAGTATCTGTTTGTATTGTTCACATCACTGTTATCGGATCACATCTTTATAATTATCATGACAAGTAACGGTGACACCCGTTTGTTTATAAGAAAGGAACATCGTGGAATCTCGACCAACAATACAAAAAGGTGAATTAGCTTTTTTAATCAAAATTTTAATGCTCTTTCCTCGTGAACCGAAGCTTGCCTGGCATCCGGTGAACATAAGCATCGATATGGCATCTATGGTTTGGTCATGTTTGGCCATCAATGCCGGTAGTAAATTTGGTCACCAACTCTCCATGCAGATATTTTCGTTGCTTCCAGAGTTGGTACTTGTAGCTTGAAGGGTTTGAAACAATCACAAAAGCAGATGCTCAGGAAGTGGCAGGTCACATCACGCTACACACTAAAAATAATATCAGCATAATGCTCGATAATTCTAACACATTGAAAATTATCGATGAATAGTGGATGAAATCGGATAATATCGAAATGCGCGCGTTAATTCAAAACGAATCGATTTTATCCAAAACAAATTTGAGAAAATTAAGCAAATTTTATTAAAATTCGTTAAAAGAAATGTAGAACAGATTACTTTCGTCCCTTCGGTTTTTTTTACAATCTTCGATTTTCAATCTATATTTCTTTGGATATAACTTTATTTTAATTAATTTAGCAATGAGAAAATATTTAGAATGTAAAAATCATGAGAAACAAAAATCTTGGCTAAGCTTAATGATCGATCTGAAGAATAAATTTTTTTCTTGATGTAAAATAATTAGTAAAATCGATGTTTTCCGTGGGCGGACTCAAGTTTTTCGATGTTTTCACGTACATTTCACATCAAATTTTATATGGCACCTAAAACTAGGCCACTTCATGAGAACTATTTTATAGTTTTGGAAATTCGCCAGGATTTTTTTACGATCAGTTGAATTATTTTGATAAGATCGGATGGTATTTATGAATCCTTTTTTATCTTGATTGTTGTTTTTCTAGTGAACTTAGCAAGCAGCTAGGGTAAATGGCTCGGATAATGGTTTTAATTGTTGTCAAATAGCTTTTATTGTAGCTTAAATACGGGTTTGAAATGGATCTCAATGCGTTTATCGTACAACCATTTTGCAGTAAATCAATCTTGAAGAGCTTCGAAAATAGACCCTTCAGAACCTTCTCTAGAGTGGGCCAACTAGACAGATTCTAGCATCAATGAGGTTTTGGTTGATGCATCAATGGCAAAGCTTTCTTGACCAGGGTTTTATGAATTTTGTTTTATAGTAGCTTTGTAGTATTTTATAAAACTTAAAATGTTGCTTGGGATTGCATATGTGCTTTATCACAAGATCCTGACTTACTTGGAATATACAGGCTTCTACACACATAGTTGCTAAACTAACCAAGTCCTTTCAAATGATGGACAATACACTCTTAGAAATTATCGCCGACTTCGGTAATTTTAACCGAAATCTGAACAGCTGAACTTTTCGGTAAAATTTATGCAATTCAATTCAATTGCTTTTCAGCTACTTTGAAACTAAATCTCCACTAAAATGACAAGATTTGATAATTTAAACAAGGTTGAAAATGTTTTGGTATTATAAAGTAAAGGTCAAAGTTTTACAGAACGTTCAGCTGTTCTGATTTCGGTATGTGTATGATACATGCACAAGCTCTTACGTACACTGCGCTAGTGTACGTAAGAGCTTGTGCATGTATCATATCTCAAGATTTTGGCATTCTGAGAAATAACTGTTCACTGCAAAGTTGTTCTGATGACCAAGGTCACTGCAAAGTTGTCCAAAAAATATATGAAAACTTTCCCGAAGACACCCATTCACGGATTTTTCATACGTTGTAGCAAGCTTGATTGACTATTTTATGGATAATCCGGATCATCTGGACAACTTGTTTGTGGCCTCAATGCCAAATTCAGTCAGATAACACATCAACAAGTGCTTGCGCAAAAAAAAAGATGGGGCTCTAGGACCAGTTTAATTTATTTCCCTCTTTTACGGATGTTCCGGATCTTCCGGAGGACCAGTATGTGATCA